GGGGGGGTGAGGGGGAGGTGGCCACCAATCCCTGGAGGGGACACGGGGGAGCTGAGGGAGGGGTTGGCCACCAAACCCTGGGGGGGGAAGGACAAGGGGGAGTGAGGGAGAGGGTGGGGACACAGGGACACGGGGGGGGGGGGGGGGGGGGGGGGGGGCAGGGGGGGCGGGGGGGGGGGGGGGGGGCCCCCCCCCCCTGGCGGGGGGTGACGACATTAGCGGAGCCCTTCCAGATGATGTACCACGAGGTGCCCTTGTCCCCCTGGCTGAACACTGGGGGGGAAAAATATCCCAGGATTTACTGGATAAATCCAATAAAATCCCCAGGGCTGGGGACCCTCTCCCCGTGTCCCCCTCAGGGCTGGGGACCCTCTCCCGGTGCCCCCCCAGGGTTGGGGATCCTCCCCACGTGTCCCCCCAGGGTTGGGGATCCTCCCCCCATGTCCCCTCCAGGGTTGGGGATCCTCTCCCCGTCTCCCCCCCAGGGTTGGGGATCCTCTCCCCGTCTCCCCCCCAGGGTCAAGGACCCCTCTCCCAGTGCCCCCCCAGGGCTGGGGACCCTCCCCAGGACTCACGGACGGTTCCCGCGCGCTCGTGGGACTCGAACATCAGCACCGAGGCCAATTCCCGCTTCACCTGCACCGGGAACAGCACCGGGAACAGCTCGATCAGGAGACGGGCAGAGAGGGCCAGGAGAGGGTGTCCAGGTGGGAATGATGGGATGCAGCAGGATTTGGGAACTAGGATTGGAATGATGGGATGCAGCAGGATTTGGGGACTAGGATGGGAATGCTGGGATGCAGCAGGATTTGGGGCCCAGGAGAGGATGTCCAGGTGGGAATGCTGGGATGCAGCAGGATTTGAGGCCCAGGAGAGGATGTCCAGGTGGGAATGATGGGATGCAGGAGGATTTGGGGACCAGGATGGGAATGCTGGGATGCAGCAGGATTTGGGGACCAGGATGGGAATGCTGGGATGCAGCAGGATTTGGGAAGCGGGAGGAGCAGTTTGGGGCCCCCACCCCGTGCTCACCGAGTTGGAGAGATGAGCCACGGCCTTGATGTGCAGCAGCTCCTCAAAGATCAGCTCCAGCTCATCCTCCGTGCGCTGCCCAGGCCTGGGGGGGCACGGGGGGGGTCAGCAGCTCCTTGTGCTCCCCCCCGGAGGCACAGACCCCACCCGGGGGCACAGACCCCCCTCTCCAGGCACGGGTAGCTCCTTCCCTCCCCGCTCCCGGTGACTCCCAGGAAGGGAATCTCGGATTTTGGGGATCACCGCACCCACTGCAGCCCCTTGGACGCTCCAGACCCCCCTGGATCAGGGTCTCACCGACCCCCCCGAGCCCCCCCAGCCCTGGGGCACTCACGGCTCGCTCAGGATCTCAGTGAGCAGAGATTCCTTCCCTCCCCGCCGTGACTCCGGGGAAGGGAATCTCAGATTTCGGGGATCACCGCACCCACTGCAGCCCCTTGGACGCTCCAGACGCCCCCGGGTCGGGGTCTTACCAACCCCCCCAGAGCCCCCCCGGCCCCCGGGGCACTCATGGCTTGCTCAGGGTCACGGTGAGCAGCTCATCCTGGGATACAGAGATTCCTTCCCTCCCCGCTCCCAGTGACTCCCGGGAAGGGAATCTCGGATTTCGGGGATCACCGCACCCACTGCAGCCCCTTGGACGCTCCAGACCCCCCG